TATGGGACTGACGGAAAGGTCTGTCACCGCCCCGTTCTGCATGCTGCAGCGAAGTGTACCTCTCTTGTGGGGGAAAAACAGATTACTTCCTACTCGCGAGCGCCCCCTCTGGTGGAGAAACGTTTTTTTCAGGAATACAAACTTTTTCAGAACACCGGTAGATGGCAGCCATTACAGACGAGCATGTTTGTTGTTGTTCCAGGAGCGGCCCGGTCACATACTAATGTCATTAGTTCGTTATAATTATTACTAAGGTGCAGGACTACTTTTTTCCTCCTTTTTTTCACGTCATGCCGCCTGCCTGGATCTGTTATTATCTCGCTTTAAAGCACGGAGGAGTGTCAGAGGTAAGCTCGTTTCAAATGATTTTTATGATGCGGTCTCATTTCCGGACTCAGGCATTTTGTGAATGAAGCCGATATTTCAGTTAAAATACATAATTAAAAATATTTATCCGAGTATAATTCTACCCCCAACTTTATGGATGATTTTATGGATTAAATTTTACATATTATACTTGAATAAATATGGTATGTATATTCTGGATGTCTGACAGTGAAGTTTGTTTTGTCCCCTTTCACCAAATCTATTTTTTGACATCAGCACCATTTAAAAACAGCCTACAGCGAAAATAAACCATCAAGTCAATAATAGAGGAACGAAAACTAAAGTGTCCGAGAAGGTCAACATAAAAATGTAAGCAAGTGTGAAAGCTCAAGGCCACATGTGTATCCCTCGAGACCTTCAAGTTCCTGTTTTCACAACATGCAATATTATCAGGAAATGTGGCACTGAGGCCAAAAGAGGAAACCTGATTGAAGATAGCAGCGAAAGATTACTCGACTGCCGGAGAGAACGTCTCCGTCAGCTGCTGCGATGATTTAAACCGCAGACACAACATGTGTCAGTTTTAATGATTACCAAAACCTCCTCAGGACAGGTGCAGAGGCTCAGACACACCAACATTTGTTTTTTTTTTTTACTAAAGAACTGAAAAAAAGCGTCAGTTCTGCATCAGCTCTTCCTCATAGACGCAAAAAGAAAGAGAGTTGTTTTCAGCGTTAAAACACATCACTTCATCAAGAAAGTGTTTGGCACCGACACAATGCTGACCCGTCTAAAGAAAGGTAAGCTTCCACGGCAGGTCAAGCAAGTCCYAGCAGAACAATGCTCCAAAACACATTTTAACAAAACAACCACCTGGAACAGAAGAAGGAAATAAACTCTTTGCTGTGGAGTGCCAAACARCACCTCATGATCTAAATCCTCTTTACAAACTTGAATAAAGCCTAAAATACCCTGGGTCAGAGCAGACAAAGAAACCAACAGCTACCGAAGGTGGAAGTTTTTTTTTTTTTCCATAAGAATTGTTCCATAGATTTCATGTTTTTTTTAACCTAAATGTAAAATAAGTCTAAAAATAAGAGTATACTTTCTTGCAACAAACATAATTTCACCATTTTTTAGCATTTCATTGCCAAAATGAAAAGTTTATTTTGGTTTCTCAAAATTCTCAATGTTTTTCCCCCCTAACAGGAGGTCCAATCCAACATCACAGGCTGATGATAAAGGGACAATAACAAAACATTTCCAGGCGCAAACTGCTTTCATGAAGCCCAAATATGACGGCAACAAAAACAGCCAGTAACTGAGCCTAGAAGCAGGCGCAGGTCGCTTCCACGTCCCTGAGAAGTCACCAGAGTCACCTTCGCTGCATGAAACCAGGAAACGCGTGATGAGAGGAATGTTTTTCTCTATTCTCTGCCCTGTTTACTGTTTTTTTATTTTTATTTCGAATTGACGGTGTTCGTCAAACAGCCGGGGACACAATAATCAGGAGACGCCAAAAAAACATTGAGTCACGCAGTTTACAGGAAGTTGTTCAAAGGTGATGTTTGTTGTGTGATTAATTATCAGGAAGGCTACAGGTTTGATAACACAGCTAAGTGTTTATGGATACAGTGAAGGTCATCAGAGGCTAAAGCTGCTGTCAGCCGACCACCTGCAGGTTCTGTTTTGTCATTTTAATAAAAAGTCTGAAGAAAGTCCCATCTGCTCAACAGTTAGTTATGTTACGATAAAACGTCAGATGGTGCGTCAAACCTTACCTGCCATCGATGGAGCGGGTTTTCTTTGACCGGAGCTGTCCAGCGTTCCCTCGTAAGCCACCGTGACGTCGTACACGGCGTCCAGGTCGTCCTTCATGATCTCCATGGCTATATGGAAAGCCTTCACTCTGGGTGTCAGAGTGTGCTTCAGAACAGCCAGTCCTGTGAATAATAGATCAAACACATGTAAATGCTACGCAATTAGAAAGCATCCTAGTACAATGTCAGAATGACAAATCACAAAAGCAGAAATCTCCTGATAAATCACATTAAAATAAAGAATTCTATTTGGCAGTTTGTGTTACTGTGTCAGCCTTTAGTCAGGGAGGCTCAGCTCACTAATACCTCACCAACATGTCATCTCTCTCAAGCGATTTATTTGGATTAAAAAGGGGTGACATTTAGAGTCCAAAGTTGAGCTTAATCCCTGCAGAATGACCAAACATTACGCCAGACTGCACTCTGTCATATATTTGCAAATTCAAGAAATGCAATCAGCAGCAAACTTCAAACACTATAAATACAAAAACACAATTTAACTACCTCCTGCAGAAGGAAAAACTATGGAGGACATCACTTTTTTCTAGCCTCGTTAGTAAGCACTGAAATGTCTTTAATTTCTCCAGAGGCTGAGTGACAGACTGATCAATAAATTGATAGATCAGTAAAGTAAAAAAAAAAAAAAGAGAATCGTTTAATTACCTGCTTAGTTACTTTTTATACATCAGAGCTGCAGAAACTGTATTATTTATTAGGCAGCTTTGATTGAAGGCAACATAATCCTGGCATCAAACCATTATTTCAACTTACATAATATTAACGTAGTCAATACCTCTCCCAATTGAATAAAAGGTTGGAAAAAATGAATTACAGTGCATATTACGCTGTAAAATATTTTAAGGCTTTGTTCACTGTACAGTTTTTAACTAACCTAACATTTCCAATTTGGTGTTAAAACTTTGTTTATTTCAACTATTAAATGCAAACTTCAGGTTTATAAATTTGCATGCAGGTGATGCTGAAGTTGCGCAACACGTCTTAGTCAGCTGTTTTTCAGATGTGAGTGTCGTACTGAATCAGTATGCAGCAGCAGCAGAACAGAGGACCGTTATCCTGCGTCTACCTTCTTTTGCAGCAAACGCCTGACTGTTAGCGATAACGTTCTTCAGCTCTGGATTGTACCGGGTTCCTTCTGGGAAGATGACGAGGTACATCTGCGGTGGAGAAAAACAAAACAAAACAAAAAAAAAAGCATTAAAAACCTCTGAGTTGGAGCTCATCACTGGGCAAAAAAGGAGTTTTCTCACTTCTACATAGAAAGAAACGTTTTATGCTGAACTGAAACTGTATAAAAAGGGAAGAACTTCTGATATAAATACTGATGTGCCTGAGCTGAAAAATAAAATTTACTCATTAAGTCTTTTCTTTTTCGTACCTTAATGTATTAACAAGAAGCAATGCATATCATTTTTCTCTGGCATGCAAACACCTTTTTATTTAATCCGCACAATATTAAAAGAATAAACATCTGTTCACTACAAACTCATAGTTTTAAATGTCACATACAAAAACTTCTACTTGTTGCTTAAAAACACTTTAATTTCTAAAACATTTATTGTTGCTATGATAATGGACAATAAAACATGCTGTCTGCCTCACACCGTTTATAAGAACAGACATTCATTGACACTTACAGGCGCTCCACATCGAGTCTGACTGAGCAGCTTCTTCCTCATGGCCTTCTCATTAAACTTTGCGCTTCTTCTCACAAAGATTCCCCCGTGCTAAAATTAAAAATAAAAAAACGTTAAARGAGAACAGCTGAGCAGTGACTTCAAGCTATTGCCATTTTGAAAAGAACACCTTCATACTCACACAGTTGCATTACCTGAGAGAAATACCACCCGTAAAGTGGGAGCCACTTGAGTCCGTCTTTCAGGACGTACCGGACGTGACCGATGGCGCTCTGCCTGATGGCGAGCATGTCAGCGATGATCCAATCAGCTGCAAGGAAAGCAGAGGTTAGGCATTTTTTTAAACTTGGCCGTGTTTCGCTTTTAAAACTACAAGCTTAAACGTGTTGTACCTGTACATTGGTGGTTCGACATGTAGATCACATTCTCCTTTTTCTTTGGTATATCTCCATATATGATAATCTACAGAGGAAAAGCACAACAACTGTAAATGAATCACAAAACTGTCGTACACATGGATAAATTTGTTGGTTTCCTCTACAAGCAGATTCATGTTCCTGTGACCACAACTGTCAATATTAATAAAATGTATATAAAAAGTGTATAGGGCTGTAGACAACCTTTTGGGATGTGGATGCAAGAGGAAATGCGGCCCCAGGATGATCAGACAGGTAGTGTGAATGGTAGAAAGAAAAACAATTTAAACCATTCAAGTTTAACTCAAAATTAAGAGCATGCTTTCTCAAATTTCTGGGATAGATGAGACAAAACTGTAGCGTTCTGACTTCAGTCATATCAGTTGTGTTTATTACTGTGAAAGGGTACCCAACACATTATCTGTCTGTATCTACTATCTAGTTGAAACATTATTTGCTTTTCTGCATATTCCGATTGAGTCGAGACTTTTTTTTATTCAGCATGAACCACATTCTATTTTAATAAACACAAAGAGTTCAAGGTAAATTTTAAACAAATCTTATAACTTCGCTTTCAGTTAAGGGGTTCTTGCATCCACCCAAGGTTTTATTAAACAAAAGGTTTTCAAACTGCATCACTTTCACGGTTTGAGCACACACCCTAACGGACAAGCTGTACAAGGTGTGACAGCAAGGCAACAAAAATGCAGTCACTCTTGCCACATAACTTGTTCTTCGAGACAGTGTTGGCCAACCGAAATGTGATGCTTTGATCTAAAGATTAGAAAATGACACAAATGTATGGGTTTGGGATGTTTTGCAGGGGTGTGTGGGTGAGAAACACTGCTGGTTTGAGGTGCAGAAAGAGGCCTGCGAAGACATGTCTGTAAAAATGCATGGAAACTAAGATGTAAACGTTCAGCTCAGTCTTTACAAATAATAACTCACCTCAACTCCTGTGTAGTTCTCAAAGAAGAACAGGACCATGCTCTGGTAGATACAGTACAGTCGGTCGTCTATCTTGTGGTAAAGTCTTTCTGGTAAAACCATTGAGATCAATCTCCAAACCCCCCAAGATAGAAGATAAGCTGGGGCTGTTCCCAGCATGATTGTGGCTGGAAACAAGTACCGCAGCGAGTATGTGTGCACAAACAGAGACAGCAGCATGGTTGCACCTCTTCTACACCCGACCAAAAATAAAGTTACAGAAGACCCTATCTACGCCACAGCACACCTGGCCTACTTTCAACACCCCTGCCCCAAAAGGTCAGCATAAGTGACAGAAAGCTGCTGCAAGAGAGCAAAATTTAACCTTGTGAGCGAAAATGCTGTTCAAAAAGTCAGCTTGAGTTGCCAAACATGTACATAAACTTAACTCATCTGGTTAATATTAACATTWTTTTAACAAACCGGAAAACGACCTCACGAACTCCCAACAACACACGCCCAGTGCACAAGTTTATGAAAAAAGAAGCGTTAGCCGACAATTTAGCGTGCTTATAAAACAAGACTAAAAAGTTTTGTCTTTATCTATAAACTCACTTTTCTGATGCGGAAACGACAACAAAGTTTACCTCAGAAGTCAACCGCATGGCTAAAAGAGGGGAAAAAAAACTGTACAATTTGTTTCCTGCCCCGAGTTCATTTATCCGGCACCTAGCTTCTAGCAGCGAATGTCACACACGCACGCCTACCTACGTAACGACACGTTTTAGCAACGCGGAAGCTGATTGGTCGAAAGACGTCATGCGAGCCAGCCAATGGGCGTGAGCGCAGCGTTTGAGCTCTGTGCAATAAATATTAAAGAACCACGTGGTTTTTAACCTTACAGCTTTTTACCCAGCTTTCTTCCACAGTTCGACTTATATATATAAAAATAGAGCTTTAAACCCTAAAACAAGAAGGTCCCCCACACAGGTTAATGTTTTAGTAGTATGTAAGCAKGTATTTTATTAAAGTAGTACCACTTGGAGTATATGCTGTGAATTACTCAGCTTTACACCAAATTTTAGCACAATATCTCAGAAGCTGATTGAATTCTATACTATYCACCAAGGTAGATGTGTGTAAAGTTTAGTAAACAGCATTGTTAATTTTCCAAAGCTGAATTTTAGTATTATAGCAAATGTTTCTTCTTCCAATCTCTGAKGTTTTAACACTTTAAACTGGTTATTTGTTGCCCAATCATCCTGGTGTATAAGCAAAACTTTTGGCAGATTCCTCCCTTTTGTTTCTAAGGGTTTTTTTTGTTTTTTTTTTTTTGTCTCAGAAGAGTTTAAGGTGACCCCTGGTCCTTGGGTTGAGGAGCCCTTCAGATTAGATGTACCACCATGTCTAGAAAAAAATGTAAACACTGCAGGTTATCTTGACAAAAAAAAGCAGGGAACTCGTGTTCGAGGTCCTTCAGACTGACACGTGTGCGGTCGCAATATGATTGGCACATCCTTAATACTATTTTTTTATGACGCACGTTTTGGGTCTCAAACTTTAAAACCCATTTCATCAACAGAAACAAGTCATTTTGCTTTTAAAAAACTGATTTTCTATTAGATGTTTGAGATGTAAAACCTGTGAACTGTCACAAAAAATGCCTAAGATAAAGCTACATTTAAAACAGCATTTATTATAAAATGACAAAATTATCATATAAAACCACAGACTTTACTGATCATCGAAGTCATATTCTGGCTCAGAAACTATTTCTAAAATCTCATTATTAAAAATACAAAACTGTCACAGTAGTGGTTGCCATCTCATGTAAACACATACAAATAATAAATGGCCAAGATGTAGCATTTCATGCTTCATCCTAATACATACCACTGAATAGTTAATGAGAATCTTGAGCAGTAGCTGAATGTTATTGGAAAACCTTTAACAAAATGTCTGAAACAAAAGAGATTTATACAAATCTCTGAGGACATTTGATAAACCAGTAAAGAGAAACACTTCTTGGTTAAAGTGAACGCCGAAGCCCAGCACAAAACTGATAATACTGAACTTTACAGACAGAATAAACACCACTCGTTACTCCAAGTTGTAGTCATTATATGGCCGTATCTTCAGATTGGTGATGCTATCTGAAATGAAAAAAAAAAAGAAGGTTAGTGACAAGTTAAAAAAAATGTCGGCTTTTATCACAGCAGAATCAGTCTTACCCAGAATCCACTGCTCCGACAGCATCCTGCATCCCTCTGGTCTCCTGCCGTTGTACTTCCCTATGCAGACGCCTGCCTGCCGCACGGTTTTACAAATTGTTCCTCCGCACAGCTCGATCAGCTCCATCAGACTCTGAGCGGGTGGCTGGGAGAGCTGTGATACGAACATGGCTGGCTGTGTTTGGAACAGGTCCTGCTGGTGCTCTCCTGCAGACAGGTGCCTCTGAAGACGACAGATCTGCGCCAGATAATAACAGTTAACCTCTGTACTAGAAGCATGTGAGAAAGGCTAAACTAGAGTAAGCATTCTGGGTTTTTTTATCGTTGTAAATAAAGTGATAACTTGGCATAAAAATTTAAAACAACAGAAAGAAACACCATCTCTTTCTGATCACATCCCTCTTGTCTAATTATTCAGCAACAACCATGTCAAATTTTAACACAATATCTGTAAAACTGACTGAGCTACAGACATTTTGTGTTATTCTATTTATTTATTTTTTAAGTTAACTGGCTTGGCGGCCATATTGAATTTGTGTGGCTTGAAAAAGTCATCAGTTGTAGAGGTAAACATCCAATGAATATTTCCTGAAAGTTTTATTAAGGCTGATCCAGTGTTTCATGAGATATTTTGCTGGTAGACAAAGTTGACTCCATGTTGTTAATTTTGTCCAATCTGATAACACTCAGAATATGAGTTGAGGGTCATTCTCAGCTACTACCACACAAAATTCTAGGTTAATATATGTAAAACTGACTGAGTGATAACCAATTTTGTGTTGTTTTTTAAAGTCCGTGGCAGCCATCTTGAATTAAGCTGACTTTAAGTTCCTCACTTGTAGATGTTCATATAGATTTCAAAGGTAGAAATAATGTTTATGGTGGGTGGAGCGAAGCTGTTTATCATGTTTTTAAACACTTAACTCATCAGAAAAAAAAACAGAATTTATTGTTTTTTTATTGTCACTTTATTTTGACTGTTGGCGTCGGAAAAAGCCCAGGTGTTGTTGTTTATTTTAAAAGCCTTGAGATATTCCAGTGCATCAGTAAATCATGACGGTCCGCCAGCACACACGATCCCATGAGTGTGAAGTCGAGGAAAATAAACCTTTTATAATGCTGACGCGTGGCATATTTGCAGCTGTGTTTTACCAACTGTGACGTATAAAAGCGTGTGCAGTGCAAAAGGTCTGTGGTAAAAGTTTAAATGCTCCCAATCTACCAGTGCAACAAAACCAGTTTGAGACGGTCCAGTCAAGACAGGAAGACATAAATTACAACATCTATGCTAGCTGTAAAGAGTCAAACTGATGGTTTTTATCATGCAATTCAGTAAATTATTCACATATCAATTATCCAATATTATACAAAATTAAACTAATTTATAAAGATTGTTAAGAAACCACTCCATGTAGTTCCACTGCTTCAAGATTTAACATTGTTCTTATTATAATAAATAGGCTATAAATTATTCTGCCTCACCATAATGAAAATTATCATAATAAACAATAGAAAAACTAACAGGATCAAAGAGGGTGTTTTATTTAAATTCAACACATTTACATTGCATTAAATTATTTTTTGTTGATGAATAGTGAATAATTTAAGTTCAGTTTTCAAAACTCCTTTAAATCCCAGAGTAGCAATTGGGATAAATTAAGTTCCTGCTTAATGAATTTGTCACGACATCTACATTTCTGACACTTTTGAGCCTTTTTATTTCTGAAGTACTGTTTGTGGCCTGTAGGTGGCTGCTACAGCACAGACTTAATCTGGCTTTGTCCCTCACTGCTGAAAACACAAAACAAAACAAACAAAAAAAGTCTCACCAACACCTGAAAAGCGAAACAAGTGTTATTGAATGAAAGCTTAAGCTCTCTGTAAGACTTACACTGTATTCAGAGAAAGGTCAGCTGGTAAATTGAAGGAGAAACTTCTTTATTTCAAGTCAAATATCAGAAATAAGCTTAYAGGATTTTAGTCTTTGTCAGTGTCCAGACAGATTTCTCTTTCTGCTAACAGGTGAAAGACTGATCAGAACTGTGAAGGTCATGCATCACCACTTCAAACAGGAACAGGAGTATATGTGTATGATTTAATATTGGAGGAAAAACAAAATAGGGCAACATCAAGGACAGATAATTGTGCCATGCTTCAAACAACAGAACCAAAGAGACTTTAGAAGTGACCTAACCTTTATGAAAGTATAAACCAGTCTTTGTGCAAATATTCATGCTACTAATGGGACAACAATTAGGTTAATTAAAGACATTTTCTCAGCAAATACTCAGTGACATTTACTTGCTGCGTTGTGTTAAATGGCGGTTTAGATTTGCATAAATTTCATTTCATATCTGGCTTCCTGCTAAACTCAAAATACATTTGCCAAAACTAAATTCTCCCTTCCCATTTTAATTTGGCTCCGTATAATATCTTGCATATTAAAGTTCCTGGCTAATACAAACTCACTGTATAAAATCATTCTGTAATAAAACTTATTAATAAGTGCAGGATCATACGAACAATGCCGATTAAGTTACTCTGCAGTGTTTTAGTGGCGCCACTGGTGTTGCTCTTGGTGTTCATGTAGCTGTTCCTTTGACCCGTAACCCCCCCCACCCCCAGCACTCCTAAACAACAGTGGTTTCCCCTCAAATGGACAATGTGCCCCATCAAGCCACAGAAAGTGCTTGGAAACAGCTCAAGCGAAAGGAACTAAAAAGCCTGAAGCTTTGACAAGCCAAAAGACTCAACAAATGCCAGTTTGATCAAGTGAGCTTTGAATTAAAGAAATAAACTTGCCACATTCACAGAGGCCCCCCCTATTCGACCAAAACGATCTGCTGCGAACAATCCTAGTTTTTGTTTTACTTTTAGCTACTCCCAGCAAGCAAACTCCCACAACATATTTGGTAACTGTTTTACACCAGATGACGCAKCCTGGGCTGCAGCCATAACGAGACCGCAGCACAGACCATCAAGGTACGGCGGCCCCCCAGCAACTTTAGTTTCAGTCACTGTGTTTAATTACAGCAGCAGCTGGATTCATGATTCAAAATGCTTTTATGTTGCGTTGAACTTCCAATTACTGACAGCAATAAGTAGTGGAAGAAGTAAATTAGTATTCTTCTCACATGATGATTATTTCTTTAATTAGAATTTGAACCCTTTAGGGTGTCATATAATGTGGTTTTCAGGCTGCCTGCATTAATCAGGTTGTAAACACAGGATTCGGGTATTTGCTTCACTTGCAGAACTGATGACATCTTGCAGTTGCAGAGATAAATATTTGTTAAGTGGGATCTTAAAGTGCCTGTGACATCAAATTTTTATAATAAATATGAATGCACATTGATAACATAGTGTAAAAAAGATTTCATGCCGCTGAGATGAACAGTTGTTGAGATATTCACGTGTGAAGAAACAGGAAGTGATGTCAAAGGGGAATGTCTGAATGTAAACAGAGCGTTGCTAAAATGGCAAACAAACAGCACAGACTGTAGAGAAGAATCTAATGTTTCTTTAGATTATTTTAATCACTATCATAAGGAGATGAGAAAGAGTCATAGTTCAAATAATATTGTTTCAATAAACAAAAACCAGAGTTTTCTTTCTCAAAGAGTTCCCCTTTGATGTCACTTCCTGTTTCACTTTAGCTGAGCAAAATTCAAAAGAAAATATGCCAATTATGTGACATAATACATCAAATCATGTATATTATGCCAAGTTCCTTAAATATAAACGTATTTTCTTTGACTTTTTGTATTTCATGGATTTCATGTCACAGGCGCTTTTAACAACTCTGATCATTTTCACTATAACTTTAAAATTTGCCTTCAGTTTCCAATATTTTCTACTCAAACCCATCCCTGACTCTGGCTCTTCATCTGTTTAATGATCCACAGTGTTCATTAAGTAGTTGCTATTTGTGTCTTTTTTCTGTACGCTGACAAGAAGCAAGTCCACAGTGTGTTTTCAAAAAGCTTTTGTGTGCTAAAAGTAGATGCTGGTTGTGCCCAAATAAAGCACAGTGGCAGCACTGTGAGCTGCTCAAACCAAAATATTTTCAGTACTGATAACAATGCGATGAAACACATGATTAATTTCTGAGTGACGCTACAGATCTGTGTAGTATCCGCACAGATATTGCTACATAAACGCCTCTTTGACCATCTCAACAAACCTGCGCTTAACTCATTGTAATGTACTGTTTTATTTTTGACTTGTTTCTGCCAGGATCAACTAATTTATTATTCATGTGGAAAAAGGCCCGTCATTACTCCAACAGACCAATCAATACGTCTGCTGCCGCACTTTTACAGTAACATTAATCTTGCTGGGCGCAGCGAGTCAGACAGCCAGAGGAAGCAGGCAGACAGTTTGTGCAGCCGCGCAACCATGCAAGAATAAATTTAAGTTGACATTCCCTTATAGTGAAATGCTGCATGGGCTTGACAGGTCGGCAGATGTTACACATGCTCCGAACATGAGGAAACTGTCTGGTGTGTGGTATGCATGGGATGTGGCTCAGTGATAAATTAAATGAATGAATGGGCCCTTGAGGTGGTGTCTGCTTAAATGAATAACTGGCGCTCTTTCTCATCTCCCTCAGTGCTTTCAGATGCCACTGAAATATAAAAAGTGGCGCACGTAAAATGCTCTGATTGAATCGGCCCGAACACCTTGAAAAAGTCTGAGGTTTTGAAATGACGTTAAGCCCTTCCGCTTTGGTAATGTGCCTTAAATATGTTTCCTTTCCTCCTTACAGTAAGGATTACATCACCTTGCTTCCTACAATTCTGCCGAGAGCCAATCTAAAGCAAACTCGTCAAATAATGATTCGTGTCGCTGCTGACACAGAAAAGTGGTTATATTGAGATAATTTTTTGACAAACACAATAAAAAACTCTTTCCGTGGAAAAAAAAGTTACAAATTTTAACAGAGATATTTTACCTTTATGGAACCAGAGATCTAAAGATCTATGATTTTATATGTAGTTTTGTATCTGTCAAATAAATTCTAAAAAACGGTTATAAATTTGCAATAGTAGATGTAATTTCTTATGGTGATAAAGCAGGAAATATGAGGAAATAGATGCTTTATCCTCTTGAATTTCCCATTCAAACCTCTCGTGTTTGTTGTACGTCAGGAACTCATTTTCAATGAATGGGGATGAACGCCGTGACCATCAAAGAGTGTACAGAACGTGGACAGCGGCATCCTGAGTAGCTGTTCCACCGGGGCAGAAAACAACACGTGGGTGTTGTAAAGGATGTAGTGGAGGATGTGTAGTTTGTGCGCCTTCTCTTGTGTGTTGCTTGGTGTGTACTGAAAGGAATCTCCACTTCACATCTCTTCACAGTGACTGGCCACAATGAGTGCAGGGAGGGGAGTGGTTTAACCTCACTGTTAGCAAGTTTAAACCACTTTAGCAAGTGGCTGGGGCGCTGATGAAAGGCAAGCACATGCTGTCTGGCACCACTAACTAAAGGGACAAGCTACCATAAATTCCTGATGGTGTTCTCTCCACCTACTAATGAGAAATATTAAAAGGAAGCTGCAGAATCTCAGCGGAGTTATTTACACTTGGATGCTGTTGGGAACCAACATCTAACCCTTAAGAGAAGACTTAAAAAAAACCAGACCTTAGAAAATCAATTTCTATCATCTTTAGAGTAAAAAGAAAAACTCTGAAGATGCTGAATGTGGATTTACTCATTTTAAGCTTCTGCCTTGGTCTGGGAACACGACACAGTGCTGTTGGACAGAGACAATATCAGATCCAGAATGGCCCGTGCAGCTACACATTTCTGCTGCCAGAGCAAGAGAACTGCCAAAACCAGAACAACTACTACTATCCAGATCAGAGGGATGGACCCACAGACAACGAGTCGATTCAGAGGCTGGAGCAACTTGAGATAAACATGGAGAACAACACACAGTGGCTGCTAAAGGTAAACCTGTCTCTCATCTTAGAATGATCTTTTACTACTTGTAGGATGGAATTTAAAAAAAACTCTTAAAAATGACAGATTTTTTTCTTTGAGACTAAGAGTGCTTATAAATAAAAACCCTAAAAACTGTTACTAAACTTCTCTTTAACTAATTTCAAACAGATTTCCTCTARATTATATTCAAAGTGTTGAATATACTGAAAAACAGAGCAAACATTCATTCAATGAACAGATTTTCATTCTTGAACCTCTGCCTTCTTAAAATGCTGAGGTTAGTGAGGTTTGATCTGTTATTAGCAAGTCATAAAGCTGATCAGCAAAACATTTCAATTAATCAAAACTTATTTTTTGTCAAAACTTGTAGTTACAACAGAAGAGCAGAACATAAAAAACAGCACCATTAACCAAGCTAACAGACATTAACAGATGGTGGATGATTTGAGAGATTATTTGTTAGTCAGCCCAAATGAATATTACAGGTTTGACTCTTGAAAAACACTTAATGTGGGTGTCGACATGTACATTCTTGTGTTTTTTTAGTAATTGCTTTTCTGTTTAAAAAAAAGTGAGCTGGTTCTTTCCTTGCCCCCTTCTTAGAATGTGATCAGAACTAAAAAAAAAAAAAGAAAACCTTAGCCAAACAAGTTTAAAACATCTTATATTCTAATCATAACATAAAACTAGTTTTAATCCCTTTTACAGCAAAAAAAAGTCAGACAGCTCAAAAAGATGCTGCTTCAAACATCAAAGCCACCTCTAACAGCACCACTTACTGACTGGTTACACATTGCTAACACAAAGATTATACTACTTACTTAAATTTAGCTACCATCATGTTTTAGGCTTTCATATCCAATTGAGAATGTAAAAACTCTGGGTACTAATCCAAGTTGTGCAAAAAAAATCACAATGAAAATGTGACAACTGTCATTGGGGGAAATAAACATGCACATCCTAAAACCCTTGTGCAGGTACTGGGGGGGGGGGGGGGGGGGGGAGATAAGAGAGAAGCTAAATTTGCACAGTACTATGCTGCAAACATTAATTTTCATATGCCACATAACACTTTTTGTTACATTAAAGCAATGTTTTGTGCTGTGACAGAAATAGTTATGCTTAAATGAACATAACTTTGCCATAAGGCAAGCTGAGCATGACTGATGGCACCCGAGTGTTACACAGACTGTCACTCTTCATTACATCCAACATCGAGCTTCATCATGGCAATGACAAARGAGAAGAATCAGCTTTTATAAAGGTTTATTATTAGAGCAAAGCTGTCTCGACAACCATGACAAATGAGAAGAATGTGAGATGATAAAGCTTCTGTGTTCACAGATAAAATAAGGAAGTTTTATTTTAAACACGAATTAAAAGTTAAACTACTATACTCTTAAGGTTTTCCAGTTGGCTATTAAAAACTAAATGTTCTGTTGGGTAAAAATCTACCCACTTCACATGGTTGAGTGTTTCAGCTCCACAAGACCCCGAAGAGCAACAAGCTTGTAAAAAAAAGCACTAACTGATGAATGATTGACCCATTAGAGTTAACCTAGTCAAAGAAGGTTATTAACCTCTTTTACATGAGTGGACTGTTGGATGAGAACCAATGAATGGGTAAGAGAGGCATACATGACGTCAAACTGCTGCCGCACACATATTTAGCTTCAACAGAAAACAGCTTTCCAGTGATTTCAAGGAAAATGCTTAATGCTGAGAAAAAATGTTCTATTTCATTTTAAGCCCATCACAAGTTAGTCGTTTTGTTTCTAAAATGACTGTGTGCATCAGCAGCTGATGACAGCGGTAAAAGAAGGAAAAAATAAAAGAAAACGAAGAGAAAATCAGTCTGTCATGAATGAGGAACTCCGTCTTTCCTCGCTGACGCTTTTCAGGCACTGGGAGTAAACAACTGATTAAATCACAGACTGTCAATCGGACATCCTGCCAACAATTCAAATGATACCGTTCCACACATCAGTCTAACCAAAACACAAAGAATCCAGACAAACAGACAAGATTAATAAATGATTGCTTGGTTGGGTGTGTTATAAATAGTCACTGTGTTTCCAGTTGAACTACTGACAGAGGAGTTAAAAAGAAGCGACTGTGTCAACTCGGTGGAGATTACAAAGGCATTCGATTGACGCTGGTTCCCAGTTGCACACCAGTCTGGCTGTAATGAAGGATGTAACTCCTCACTCAACACTTCCATCCTGTTTACAAGTCGTGTGACCTGATTGCCACTCAGGAACACCACGCAGGAAATAACTTAATGATTACTTTGAGTCTAAATTTGGTCATTTTTGAAAGGTAGACAGGGACAAATCTCAACGAGTACACACAATGACAACTTTAAATGCTTTACATGGATTTGGTACAACTAACTAATGGGTCGTGATTTAATGAGAGGAAAACATAAGCTTTAGTATAAAAAATATTTAAACAACTTAGAAGTTTCAGTCTAACAAAGTTTTTAAGTATTGCAAAAAAACGATCACCTTGTCAAGGGCCAATTAAAATGGCCCATCATATTGCTAAATAACATAATTATCCTTTTTTTGCCAGAGAAATTAAATTTCATTTTGCCAAACAAAGACTCGAAACCTATTTTCCATCAACATTTACCCTCAAAGTGTGGAAAAACTCAGCGGTAAATAAAAACTTATTTAAAACTGAAAAGATTTTCAATCCAAGGACACTTTGTCAGCTCTCAGTTAGATGGCAAACAAGAAAAAAGGTTTGACTGAATTAAACAACCTCAGAAAGTCGAATGCAGAAATATAATAACCTTAGATATAATGAGGTGTTTTTGAACTTGACCTCTTGATTCGATTTTTTCTCTCACCCACAACAAATGGAGCAGAGCAGGGACTTATTTTGACATAAATATAGTTCTTGGACATGTCTAGCCGTCAATAAATACTGTTCAAAAAACATGAGTGCAGAACAAAACCTTTGGCTGACTATATTCAGTCGATAAACCTTCTAGGTTAACTGTTGCTCTTTTGTGTTGCAGTTGGAGAACTACATCCAGGACAGCATGAAGCAGGAGATTATCCAGTTCCAACAGGCTGCTGTTCAGAACCACACAGCTACAATGATTGAAATTGGGACGAACCTGCTGAGTCAAACCGCTGAGCAAACAAGAAAGCTCACCAACGTGGAGGCGCAGGTGAGGCTGCACGATATCAAGAAAACCTGCGATGTGCGATAACAGTGCTTAATATTGCGATGACGATTTGACTTGCGATAAATCAAAAAATATAAATATACAGCGTTGGATGTTTTTCTGCTCTGGGTTCAGAGCAAAAAAACAACTAATACATAATTTCCATTACAACTTGATGGAGTGATTACGATTTGATGTTGTTTCTCTGGTCCATTTTGTTTATCAGACTGATGCTGACAAACAACATAAATGCAAACATTAGAGCCAATCATATATTGCAATTTATGCATATTTTGCGATATGCATATTGCACTGGCTGTTATCGCGATAACGATAATTTTGCGATATATTGAGCAGCCCTACTGGACATTCGAATTTATTTTCCTGAAACATAACAAAACCACATCAAACCACAGCACATACGATTGTTCAGCCTTCCTGCTATGTGCATGCAAAGATTGATGCTTTGCTGAGAAACTGTGATGAGTAATGATGCTTCAGAATAATAATAATTTAAAAAAAAAAGCAGTGGGGGGAAAAAACAGGCATGATGGCGTCAGTTTATTATTGTGGCTACACGTCAATGACCCTATGAGAGCCAACTGTACAGCATTTCCTGTTATTAACACACTCGTATTCCCAGAGAAACGGTCTATCAGTTTGTCACAATCAGACATCCGTCTGTTCAAAGACATCAACAGCTCCAATAGAGACTCACAGCTTGGATCATGTAAACAACCTGCGTTTTGCTGAGTTCAGTTCCTCCGAACTGGGAAACCAGCGGCAAGGTCAACAACCCCAGAGTTTAGTTCAATACATCGGTCTCTGAAAATATGCGGGTTTTTAGTAATTTCCCCTCGTTCAGGTATGTCTGGGGTATTAAAGCACGGTTGTCCTTTCCTGTGCTGTTTTTTTCCACTTTGCAAATGGTTATTTGTGCAAACTGGGCTTGTGTGTTCAACATGACCCAATCATATGAGGCATATTTTTCAAAGTGTTGTGGCTTTTATAGTTTTTACAACACTTTACTAAATTCATTTATATTGTATRCACAGTAGATCAGTTCTTCATAATAATATACATTGAACTAGTTAAATTTGTGTGTGCGATGACTGGCTTTTTTTAATTGAAAGCAGTCTAAACTCATTATTAAATTAATTTTCACATTATAATCAGAGACAGTGAAAGTCTTTTGTTTCTGATGGACAAATAAGCCATAGAATGAGTTTGGGACACAGACTGAATTATTTGTTTCACCTTTTTGTTTTGTTTTAGGTAATTCATCATTCAACACGACTTGAGCGTAAACTTCTAGAAAACTCCTTGTCAACCAACAAGTTAGAAAAACAACTCATTGTCCAAACAAATGAGATCAATAAGCTGAATGATAAAAACAGGTGAGAACACCTAATCCAAGTCCAAAAAAATTTTTTCCCCTTAAATCATTGAGTGCACCATTGGAACAACCAAGAAACGGATGAACTTGTCTTCTTCATCCTATAGTCTTATGGAGAAAAAAGTGCAGCAGATGGAGGAGCAGAGGCAAGAGGAGCTGAAAACACTTCAAGAAGAGAAGGAGCAGCTCCAGTCTTTAATACTGAGGCAGACAGCGATCATCGGAGAACTGGAGCAGCAGCTGCTGAAAGTCTCCTCCAACAACTCAGTTTTACACCATCAACAGCAGGAGCTGCTGGACACCGTGAACGACCTCATATACACACTGTCTGCTGGCTCTGCTCAAGGTGGGTCAAACATCAGATGTGTCAATATGTGTTATTGTTGTTCATTATATAGACTGGAAGAAAGGAAGCAGTTTGTGCTTTGGGTGTTTTATCCTGCAGAAAAGCAGATCAGTGGTTAAGCTGGTCACAGGTTGGAGTTTGCATGTTTTCCCATGTAACCAAAAACATGCATGTTAAATACTAATTACAGCTACTAAGTTTTAATCAAATACTGGAGAATAACATGATATCAGTCTTCTTGTTTTATGAATAAAAAAACACTTTTTAAAACAATAAAAGCAGACTGTTCACTGATGCTGGACTTCTTAAATAAGCTGAAAAATATTTCCACGTCAACACAACAGAAATAACAGCTCCCTTTTAAATAACATAATTACATATAATTGTGCCAAAAGCTCAACTCTAAATGCATCACATGCTGAAAAGACACATGATTGTAAAGCACTTCAAATATAAAATGATTATTACGGGGCTGCGATGTGGAACAACCTTCTCCTGTCAATCAAGTGTGTCTCAKCTGAACTTTCAAAAAACAGCTCAAGACGTTTCTTTTCCTTGACTTTTAATTGCATTTAATAGTCTTGACATTTTAGGTAATTTGTCTTTACTTGTAACTTTTATAACTTGGTTCTAAACGGTTACGTTTCAGCCTGTTTTCTGTTTTTCATTCAAATGTTTTTAAATATTGTTTTAGTAATTGGTGACTTTGGTTGTTTTAAAGGAATTTACAATTAGAGCTTGTTGAATATCTTCTGCAGAGACCAAACCTGTTATGATGCAGGACACTCCAACTACATTTAATGACTGCGCCGCTGTCTACAAGGCAGGAAACACCCAGAGTGGAGTCTACACTCTCACAGTACCCAACACTACCACAGAAGTTAAGGTAAAGTAGTATCAGTTTTTAGCTTTAGGCATTAAGTTACTTAAAAACTTAGCCGTGATTGGATTGTTATTAGACATTCTGCATATARTTGTGAGTGCGCCCTGAGAAAAATGACATAAAAGTGCATATATACATACAGTCCARGCCAAACTGTTCTTATTTACACAACTTTATAAATGAAACCCTTGATGCTACTGYAATAAAGGTGGACTTTTTAAATGCACTGTTTGAGGGTGAATAGATAAATAAAACGTTCTTAGATTTTAAATAAAAATGTGGAAGCTTGAGTTAAAACTTCATTCCTGAATTTTTTTCTGGAAAAAAATAAAATAAAAAAGAAATAAAAAAATGTATGGCACTGTCACATTATAACTATGCTCCAAGTCCTTATTTTGGCTTCATTTTTGAAGTATTAATCAAACAAGTCTCATTTTCTTTTGTCTGAAGGCTTTCTGTGACATGGAGACAGAAGGGGGTGGCTGGACCGTAGTCCAAAAACGCTTTGAGGGCCGTGTTGACTTTCATCGTACGTGGCAGGAGTACAAAAAGGTAGAGGCAATCAAGAAGAAATTCCATCCTTTGAAAAAAAATAACCCAGGCTACGGTTTTCACCACAAATGCACACACCAAGTGGCCAGTTTTGGTTTGAGACTGTGTTTTTGGGACTAGGTGATCCTGCACAACCATTCGAGGTGATTCCATAACAAGATCCAAAAAAAGACGAAATGTGCTGTTGATGAAAATCTTAGCACGAGTTCTCCATGTTATAAAGCTATTTTCAACCATTCGCTAAACAGAACCAGTGTCAGTATTTTTGTTAGCACATCTGAATCTGAAAGCAGGAAGATAAATAAATCCTCACTAGCCAATGCCAAATGGGCCTCACAAATGGGCCAGAACCATGCTGACAAGTCAGGTCTCAAGTGTACTCAAACAGACATAATTGTATTTTCAAGTCTTTTATAATTACAGTAAAAGCTGAAWTGATCAATTTATGATATACTTGTGACACGGTTGATTTCTGACTCTGTCCTGATGAAACATTTAATTTGTTTAGGGGAATTAATATTCTAGATATAACCAGTCAGACGGCTTTAGCTGGTGTGCTTTTTTGTTAARGGGGAAAAGCAACCACAACACTCTTTGGCAGGGGTTTCACAGGGTTTAATTACATGTCTTTTGTGTCTTTTCAGGGGTTTGGAGAACCTTCAGGTGAATTCTGGCTGGGAAATGAGTTTGTCTCCATACTGACTAATCAAAAGACGTACAAACTAAGGATCCAGCTGAGCGACTGGGAAGGAAACTCTGCATACTCACAATATGATCAGTTCTCCCTTGATAATGAAGCACAAAATTACAAGTATGTTCCTTTGGCAGCCGCAAATAAATATCCCTGTGGCAATACATGTGTCAGATACAAAGTGGCAAGTAATGAATGCTTTATTTAATTTCAGCTTTAGGCAAAAATAATCAAAGCTCATGAAGCTCAACTTAACATGAGAAAGAAGTCAGTCTGTAAATGATGCTTTTCTTTCAGAGCTTTTGATGTCTCCTATCTGAGCTGTTGACAATTTTCAGCCAAGCAACATTATTTAAAAAAACAGCTTAAAAGCTTGTAATTTTCAATTATTCAAATTCTTTGGAAAATATATGTTTCTCAAATAAATAAAAACCAATTATGACAAGTTATTTCAAGTATCTTCCCAAAGTATCAATTAAAATCTCAGTATGAAAAAAACTCACCCATGAATAGAAATACTGAGCAGTTTTTCTGATTGTTGGTTCTTGGCATACAGGCCCACTGACATTTTGAGACTGGTTTAACTGGCATCAGCCCAAAGAAAATCCAGCGAAGCTTGTCAATATTTGGAAAATAGGAAATAAATCAAATATCTTGGTCATCTTACACTCAGCTTGAGAGACTTCATGTCTAAAAAAAATACTTAGGTTGGTGGTCAAAAACTAAAAGGAAACTTAAAAATAGATAAATATTTTGACACAAACTAGAAATGGCACATTATAATTTAAAATGAACAAACCAAAATTTTCTAAAAACAGAAGAAATACACAAAAAATGTGCAAAACTATGTTCAAAATTACAAGAAATYATTCAGGTCTATGATATAAATGCCCAATTWAAAAAATTAGCAAGTAAAACTTATAGTAAAATACTTGTATAAGTGAAATGCCTTTTGAGGAACAGCAATCACAGATTTCCTCCTCCTGTTCCTTCATTTTTCCTTTTCCATTCTACAGGATACACCTTAAAGGCTACAGTGGAACGGCAGGCAAAATAAGCAGCATTGGGCAGCCAGGAAGTAGTTTCAGTACAAAGGATGCAGACAATGACAAATGTGTTTGCAAATGCTCACAACTGACAACAGGAGGTAAGAAATCTCCTGCTTTTTAGTAGCTTACYCTTTTGAACAATTCTGATGGTACAAAACATGTAATTTTTGTTAATTTAGTGATTGTTCTGAAGAAAAAGCTTGGCACTTGCCCAAAACATTTTCAAGGACGTTTTAAGGACTGCTGTACTTAAGTCAAAAGAGCACAATTAGCTGCGACTTAATCACTGATCAGCTCATTGGGGAATTCAGCACTGACAATAGCTGACATTAATAGCCTGGGAACAGAGCTTTTCCCTCTCYTGTAGCTAAAAAGCCCTCCACGATTCCCTTGAAAGTAACTTTACTGCCGGGCGTTTGTCTCTATCTGAACTGGGGTRGGCCAAGTTTGCGTCAAAGAGATAAAAAACTAAAAGCACCATCCCTTTTTTTCCCATGGGGGGTGGGGGGTGTCTTTCGTAAATTCTAATGTTGTGATGCGAAAAAATGGGGTTTTGTGTAAAATTAGAAGGAACATTGATTTGTTTTGTAGTTTAGATTTCAGACCGAGCTAAAGGGTTTCACCTTGGTCAAAAAAGTTTCCATCAAAAGTGAGCGACCAAGTTTTTATGACAATATCTTTACAAAGAATATATTTTGATGTTTCAGGCTGGTGGTTTGATGCCTGTGGTCCATCCAACCTGAATGGGATTTACTATCAAAATGGACAAAACTCCAATCGCTTCAATGGAATCAAATGGTACTACTGGAAAGGCTCGGGCTACTCACTGAAGTCGACTGCAATGATGATCAGATCGACAGATTTCTCAGGCTCACTTTGACACAACTCTTTGATTAAACTAAGAGAAAAGTAAATTCCGCTTAACAAGCACAATTACCAAAAAACAAAACTTCTTGGTGGAGCCAAAGCAGCCTCATGCATTTTTTTTATACAGCTGTTTGTATTTATGTATTTAATTATTTGAAACAAAAAGGCATAGAGACACTTTAGGCACAGTGATGTAATTCTGTTAACCTAACAGATTATAAAAGGTAAAATTTAATAACTTAATGTCCAATCATCCATTTTCTATATCTGCTTTTCTCTAAAATATTTGAAGCACATAACAAATAGCAGTTGATGTTATTTTATAGATAGATGATGGTACAAGATAATGAACTGGTAGCCATAAATAAATATGGGTGAGAGTTTGTTTGACAAATGTTTTAAGTGTAAATGCCACAAAAATGTTTCATTTAAGGACCTTTGTTTCATTCTTTAGAATGGATGTAAATTTGTTTAAGTTAAAAAGGATATCTGTGCAATTCTGAGCTACTTAAAGTCAATTCTGAGGATTTATATTAACATATTCTTTCACGTTTTTGTTTCTGGTTATAGATTGTTAGGCTTGAATGATTTAGGAGTGTTTCTGTTTCTGAAGCTGAATATCATCAACCGCAAGGCAAAGCGCTCACAGTACATAATTTATAGTCTTAATTCTCAACATTTTAGACACTTCATTAGCATTTTCTTCTACTGTAAACAATAAACTTTCATGTGCTCAAAATCTGTACTCGTTTCTTTTTTGGGGGTTAATTATTTTGTTAAAGAAACTAAGGTGAAATATTTTGTTTTGGTTATCACACGTTTTTTTTATTTTACCGTTATTTATCCAGGCAAATCTCATAGAGATAGCAGATCTCTTTTTCAAGGGTGGCCTGGGCCTGAAGGCAGCCTATTGTACATGTTTTTGTGTTGTTGGGTAAACCGGAGTGCCCAGGGAAAACCCATGCAAGCACGAGGAGAACATGCAAACTGCACACAGACAGACCCCAGGTCTGAACCGGGGATCAAACCCAGGACCTTCTTGCTGTGAGGAGTCGAGCTAACCACTGATCTATGCATGTGTCAATACATTTTGGGTGAGAACAAAGAATATTCCTAGTGCTATTTGATTAGCACTTAGCTATAGCACTTACCTGTGCTGCAGGAAAAGGGTCTGAAAGTTCAAATGGTTCCTCTGGAATCCACTGCCTTTGCTCCAAACACCAGAGAATCTGCTCAAGAACACAAAAATCAAATAAAAGGACATGGTATTTGACATGTTTAATAAATCTCTTCTCACTTTAATATGCGTGAAAACATGCACAACATCTATACCCATTCAAAGGACAGAATCCAGCAGCCACGTGCTATGCCCAGCAGGATGTTGAGAGTCCGTCTGTGTCCCCCAGACACTACGTGAGTCGTGCTCTCACACACTCGGTCGACAATTGAAAAACCACCCAGTGCTTTCACCACCTGAACCACAGTGTGCTGCTTCCTACAAAAGATGGACAAGATTAAAAATCAAAAACACCACCCAACACAAAATGCAAAGTTCACTCCACCAATTTGCTCAGTAATGTAGTGGAATGATTGCATATGACATTTAAAATGATTATCTTATGACAAACACACTGAACTGACAGAACTTACTCAGTAGGCATGCTTGTCATGACTAGTGTTCTCATTGCCTGAAACAAAAACAATGGTATACAAATTATCAGAACTAAAAAAATTATTAAATATCACTTCATATGAGCAGTTCATAATACTGTATAACATAAACATGTTAATATTTGATTTCAGCATTGTATTTGTCAAACCATCACAGCCTGTTGCACAATTAAAATACAGCATTTTGTCACAGTCTTTACAATAGATGGCAGTAAATCATAAAAGGAGCCAGATCACTGTATTTATAAAAACACACTTGTTTCTTGGCCTGGCTTTTTTTGTGTGCGTGTGTGTGAGTGTGTGAGTGTGTGTGTAGAAATCCATTTATCCCTCCATTTTGTTTTACCCACTTTTCCTTTCCTAGTCACAGGAAAGCTGGCTACTACATCTAGCGGTCATTGTGCTAGCGGCGCTGGTACACCCTGGACAGGTGGTACAGGAATCAACAAAAACATTTTTATTTCTTTAAAACTACACTTCGGTGACACTAAACCAACATGGCACAAACTAATGCATAAAAATCATGCTAGAGAACTGAAGGATTTATATGCTTTTTATTTTGATCTTTTATGCATAATGATACAGTCCTCACAACTTATTATTAAAGCTTTTAATGAGCTTCAAGTTATAAAAAAAAAACAATAATCAGTATGAATACAAAGCAGCCTGAACCATTACAACTGTAAATCTGTACCCTGCTGATTGCAGCTCATTCAACCACATACTTTGGCTCTCACACAGAAAGCTGTCATCAACACAAACACCTCAGCGACAGTTGCAAACAGGACCATCAAGCCCTTTCCGGCCAACACTCTGATATCTGGTCTACCAGCTGGAAGTCAGAGGTTAAAGCCTGTTAAGCACAAACAGTCCACAAGTTACACCTATGCCTGTCGAACGTCACATTATTCCCAACTTGATAACATTAGTGCTGCCCTGTTGCTTCTTCTTGATTGTTCAACCTCCCTTTTTCCTCCAAGGAAAATCAATTTGATGTTTTAGTTTGCAAATGAGCCAAAGAATAGATAGTTGCTGTCTAAACTCCATGGTTATAAAAAAAAAAAGGCGACATGAGTCTGATAAGGTTGGAATCTTTTCAATCAAATCCAGAAACACAAAATACACAAACAGCTGTTCCTCAAAAGTGACTTTGGATTATCTCACAGCCTGAACATGTTCTGGCAGCTGCACAAGGGACTGAGCTGCATATAATGAGTCTGTGACAAGAAGCTGGTGTGAAATGTGGCACGGCCTTTGAGGACAAACACAAATGAAGGAAATTCTTCACAGTATGACTGGGTCTCCTTTGTGGCTACCAGTACGTGCACATGCACACACACAAAAAAAGAGACTCTTTAGACGATAAAAGAAATGTTAATCTTTAACGTCTGTAAGCCATGAAGTGAGTTWAGATCCAAATAGCAGTTAGCAAAATGTATTTTTATAACATTTTGATGAATACTTGACACTGAGAGATTCAAAGAGCACAGTAACACGCATAATACCGTATATCAAAGATTCAGATCCCAAGGTGMTCCTTGGGCAGAGATGTTACACAATCCCTCCAGAGAGTTCTGAGTCTACCAGAGTCCTCTCTCAGTGGGACATGCCTTGAAAACCTCCAGGAGGTGTCTTAATTAGATACACAAACTAACTCAGCAGACTCCTTTCAATGAGGAGCAGCAGCTCTACTCTGATGGTCTCCCTGGTTAATGAAGCTCCTCACTTTATCTCTAAGGCTGAGCCCAGCCAATCTATGAAGGAAACCCATTTCAGCCACTGGTACTCAGGACGTTATTTCAAACATGATCCATACTTCACAC